CCAGAGTGCGAAGTGTCTCCATCGAATCGAATGGATCGATGCCGAAAAACGACCGAGCGTCGGGCAAAATCGCGGCGAGCGGCGAATCGCGCGAAAACGTCAACAAAAAGCTAAAGTAAACGAGTCATACAAGTGAGTGGGACATGTGTACAGCTGCCGAGCAGCGAATCGCCAGCGGGCAGCAGGAAGTTTAGTTTCTAAGCAGCCATCCCGACAGGCAAAAGGTTTTGATTGATGCGGCGAAAGTTTTCGATGTAGTCGTTGACCGAGGGGCTTCCGTGGGGATAGTCAAGGACGTTTGAGTACACAGCTGGTTCTCGTACGGCATCGCCAACGAACTGTTCGTCTATTGTCAACTTCGTGGATGTTGCCATTCGAAAATCATTCGGTTTACCAAGAGAAAAAAATAACATGTTTTACATTTTTACTTCATTTGTTTATACTTTCCCGAAGAATATAATGATTGGGATCGACGTAGAACTTTTCCTTCATTTTCTAAACTTTTATATTTTCACATTTTTCAAAATATGACCTAAATTTCTCTTTCAGCTTTTACGCTTTTATGTTTATACATATTGTTTATACGTTTTTTATATGTTTATATACCTCTATCGTAGAGTAGAAAATTGTGCGACTTGTCCCTAACCTAAAAATTTATGAGCCACAAAATAACCGAGATTTACTGCTTTTTCATGACCGATACTTTAGACTTGAAGGCGGAAACAAATATGGACTTTAGCGGGACTACAAGAGAGGGGAGATGAAAAAACTAAGAAAGAAACAACACTTTAAAAAGTAGTTAAAAACAGAAAAGTATCAGTCGCAGCCTATCCTGAGCTTTGACTTTTGCGAAAAAAATCAAAAATAGAGAGTGATAAATTATTGCAAAATGAGTTTTTCAAAACTATCTAACCACATCATTGAAAGGAAGATTACCCATACACTGGACACAAGTAAGAAGTATTCAGCGGAATCTATACTCGCTTTAAATTCAAAAAATAAAGAAAAATGCTCTTTCCTTGAATCTTATTCGAAGAACTCTACTGCTGCGGGATGAAGATTCACTCAAAAACTGCTAAGCACTCGATTAATCAGAAGAAAGCGGGAGAACTTGTAGTGCACGTCGTCAGAACAAATGAGGTCGGGCTTAGGCTAAGTGATATAAATTGATCTATAATACTATGAAGTTTTTGAATAAAAATGGGCTATTAGCAGAGGATTGCAAAGCCTTTGGGAAAGGGATAGTGAGGTAGGGTCTTTTCACAACATTTTGCATTTTTTGAAAATAAGAATTATTGCTTAGACGACATGCTTTTTCCTATAATAGAGATGAACACATGTTTGAGAGCAACCGCAACTATTTATACAAAAATGAAATCAAAAATAATTGTAAAATAAAATAATTGTTTCTGCATTCTTTCTTTTTAATGGCGCACCTCGAGTGCATATAATAAATAAATATCTAAATAAATAAATAAAATAGCAGAATGATAGTGAAGGAGAATGAAGCCCGGACGACAAGCCGAATTTGTTCGAATGCTTCCACGTGGAGGCAATATCGTGAATCTATGCAAAAACGCCAGTACTAGCAATGTAGTGTTTTTGCAAGAAATTTACTATGTGTTTCACTGTAATAATTTTAAGAAAGTTTTGAAAATCGCTGACAGGACAGACTGACAAGACAACAGGTGACTCTTACTACTGTTCGGTGCCTAAGACCTTCAACAGAACCTCTGATGTGTTGCCATTAGGTCGCCAGTTGGATGATTGATAAGTTCAGTTATGTTTTGCGAAATCACCAGGCTTTTTTTTGTTTGAGATAAAGAAGTGGGGAAGGGGATGAAGAATGAAAAATAGCTCGCTATAAATAGATTACGTTGGATATGATCGTGAAAAATCGAGCAAGGACATAGCTCAATTTAGATACCAAAGCATTTTAGACAAATAAAGAGAATAAAGAAGCTCTCTCTCTTTTCCACCAAAAAGTTTCCGAACATCTTAGGACAAAACTTCAGAAAAATTGATTTGAAATTTCTCTTTGATTATGATGCCACCGATAAATACGGATTAATATCAGAAAATCATTTTCAATTCTGATAATGAATTGGAATTCTCTCAAGCTTTCCACAGAAAATATGAATAGTCTAACAAAGCAAATGGTGCGGCAGTGGTTCGAAAATTGAATGTGGAACGATCAGTTCTTATCAAGCGTTCTTTTTTGATAATCTGGTGTTTTTTCAGAGATTATCTAATTCTCGGTTCAGCACATCAAATCACAAAATAGCTCAATTGGCTACCTGCTCTGATTGTGAAAAGCAATCCATAAATCTTGACTTTAACATTCTCAATAGTTCGAGGTGGAACTAATCCAATTTACTTTGTTTTTCACTTTATTCTCTGCCCTTTTCACGTAGTACTTCCTACAACTCACGATTCTTCGAAGCAAAGTGCATTACTCGAAGGAGAGCAAGTTCCTTCAATGTTTTTTTACTCATTTCTTTGCAGGATCTTTACGTCAAGTTTTTACAGAATTCCTATTTGCCATGAGATATAAGGTGTGTGTGGAATTCCTTAGCACACTACTTAAGAAACCATATTCAAATATCAAAAATCCGAGCGAAGTAGTAATTCGTCATGTTCCTTTTTCATGCTGTTTTAGACTCCAAAAGAAAGAAAGACACTAAAAAGGAGATAGGAAAAGTGAACGAAGTTTATTCACAAAAACATTCACAGTTTATTGCGCCAAATCTGATACGATGTTTATTAGTGATGAAATCATATAGACGTTTCCCATAATGAATGTATTTAGCACTCACATCAAATCTTTACTAATCGATAAGGGAAATAATCTTTCAATTTTTTCCTTACACCGTGGCTCACTTGAAACGAAAAAATAGACACATGTCAGTAAATTTATAGAGTTGATAGAGGCTGAGTAGAGATTATCAAGCTCTATCTTCAAGATTTGAAAGTGGCATTCAAAAGGTAGTTCAGTAAACAAAGGTTAAATGTCTGATTTGTGGTGATTGAACTCTATAAAACAATACATAATAATTTACGGAAGACAAATGCACATATCATTTTTGATCAATCATCGTTTCGACTTTGATAAACTGGTTGCTTAGTGAATGACTAGCTTCTTATTGTTTTGACATTGTGACCAGCGATGTTCTCTTCCTTGTCTAGGACTTCATAACAAGATTCTTGAATAAATATGCTTGAAAAGACAGAAAAAAGCTTCTTTAGTAAAGAAAATCGGAATGATAAATAGTTTTAATGTATGGCTTCTATACGAATAGTAGACAGTCACGTATTTAAAGTGCAGAAACACGGAAATCATAACAATCAGACGACGTTCGGCTCCGACAACGGGCAGCTGCGATGTTCGCAATGAAAACCAAGCATCGATCCCGTCATTTAATATGCGACTCCCCTGCCAGCGCAGCACCATGGAAATGCGGAGCGAATGCCCTCGACACAAGCACCCATGTGAGGATATCAAGCCATTCACACTGATACGTTGCAAGCAGACGAGTACGAGTAAATTCATAAGAAAAAAAATATGGAGTAGGGGATCTGTGGATTTTCCAACTAGCCAAACTGCAAAATATCGTCGATTCGTTGACCGCACGGAGTGGACATCACTGCGGAGCACGCGCCCAAGGTAAATCGCTTGCCCCAGTACAAATTCGCCATTGTACAAATCTCAGACAACCAACTGACCGAAAGTTCCGCAGCACTTCAGTAACATTTCTGCCGGGTCATTAGCGGAAACCCTGTGAAGGTACTGTGAAAACGCCGCGATTCTACAGCATTTCCGCAGCGCTTTGTGGAAAATGCTGCGGAAGTTCCGATTTTTGATCTATTTTCTGCGGAAACCTCGCATTTTGGAGCTTGCACATTCTCAGTGGTCAAGAGTGCTGCGAAACTGCTGCAAATTCCGTTTGTTCTGCGCAAGTTGCGGTGAATTGTGTAAGAATAGTACTCTCGCAACATTTTAGCCGCGTCGCACGTCGTCCGCAACGTTTGAGCAGCCCCTGCGGTTAACAAATCGACGATACAATGATGGTTGTGCGTACAGCAGTCATGAAGATAGGGTCCAATGACATGAAAACTGAAGTCTCAAATGTTATTAAAATAATCTTTGGTTTCATATCAAGCCTATTAAACGTTTAAAGAGGAGTAGAGTTAAAGCTCGTAGAGGCGGAGAGAGCTTTCAAGCGAGGTGAAAATCTTCACCGAGATTTTATTGGTGTACATGTGCAGATGTAATAAGCAGTGGCGGACCGAGGGAGGGGGGGGGGGGGCGGGGGGGTGGGCGCGCCCCCCCCCCCCCCGAGAATGGGTCGCGAAATTTTTTAAACTTACCTATATGGGTTGTAAAAATGTGCAAATGACTTGTTTGCACTTAAAAATAATTAAAATAATTTTTAAAATTTTTTAAAAATTCATTTTAGCCTTATAAAAAAAATTTTTTCGGGGGCGTGGCGTCAGCCACGCCCCCTTTTTCCAGATTTTAGGGGTCGGGGACCCGCAAAAATTTTGAGAAGCACCCCAAAAAATTTTTCGGAGTGCGTGGCTAACGCCACGCACCTTCTTTAGAAAAAAAATTTTTTTCGCCCCCCCCCCCCCCTCCCCCCCCGAAACAATCTCTCGGACCGCCACTGGTAATAAGGTATGTATAATGTTCAGCGGTCGAAAATCTCTTTTATCAATATATAAATTAATGTAGATCATACAATATGATAAAAAATGAAAGTAAAATGAGACGGACAGAACATGTTCCCTCTCATTGTTTCTTGCGTTGGAATGGAAGCTTCAATGATTTCTTGACTCCTCTCAAAACTCTTGTAAATAGTAAGGCTCATAATCAGGCAAAAACCTTCTCGAAATCCGTCAAACAAGCCCATACTTCGTGATTAGATGTCCAAAAACTTATTTCCTTACAATAATAACCGATATCTCCTCGAACTTTACACATTGCTATGCAAATGGTACGAGTATGGTATACGAATCAAAGTGCTAATTAGTTTTCTCAAACAGTGCACTCTGATTTTACGAAAAATAATTTAACGACGCATCACCCACATACGATACATATGAACTTTATGAAGAGGCACATATAAAAGGCAAAGGGACAGTTGGAGGTGCATTGGGTCTACCCAATCGCTATGTCAATAAATCAACAAATAGATAAACTACGCATTAAAAGCTTTTCCTACAAAATAAAAGGAGGACAAAACTCATGCTGCGATCGCTCCGAGTTTTGCATACAGTAGAAAAGGACTATGCAACCGTGGAAATAAGATTTGGGGGATTATGACATAGCGATATGTTCGTTCATAAGGAGATCACGTCCGATGATCAATCGCATCATTTCATTCGTTCCTTCCAGAATTTCATGCACCTAAACTCAACTCATGATATATTTAGTAAAAAGGAATAAAACAAATCGGATATACTCATTCTCCCATTTTTTCTACTACAGAGATAGTTCCATGAACTTAGGGTCATATTCGTATTAGGCTCTAAATTTAGTGCCTAATACGAATATGCGTGATAGATTTGATGCGTTGTAGTGTTCTTGCGTTGATAACAACATATGTGCGTCATATGACAATGTGCGCCCTATGGGCATCTTTAACACGCAGGCGCAGACAAGTCGACATTCACAAGCATAGTATCATCCTTTCCATGACTAGGAGACGCGTGACCGCATTGCTGACATTGTCTTGACATGTTTGAGTTTGTTCTTCTCTGCTTTAAAGGCAGCGTCCGGGCAAAACCTCGACTTCCATGTTTCTAGCGTTTCTTGCTTTTTCGACGCCCCTGAATCTAAATCCGAACCGAGAATTGCTTGAAATCTCCAAAACCCCCGTTTCTGGAACCCTATTTCAATAATCGCGGACGAGTGTTCCGAAATTTATCTGGTGTAGTGACACGTGAAAACATGTGTCAAAGGTAGAAACACTGCGTGTAACGACACGTCAAAGGGGCGCATCAAACATGTAAGCTCGTCTTCGTAGGCGTAAGGGGAGCGGAAGGAGGAAGGGGAGCGGCACTTGACCCGCCCACCTGACTTTCAGAATTCACATTTTCGGGGCGGACTTGCTGTTTTGTCTTAGTTGAGGGGGACCCTGTCGAAATGTGACAGCATCTGAGGTAGGTCAATTTTGCCCGGACGCTGCCTTTAAAGAGTGAATAAACCTGGACGAGATAAATGACAAGTATAAACCTGCTAAGGACACGATTAAGCTTGTTTATACAATTGTGCAATGTGGTCTCGCGTCTCCTAGTCATAGAATGAATGATATGCGTTTTCGCGCATGCGTTGTCGTCACCGCAGATGCACTATTGACTACTGAACTGGACTCATTTCGAATTTTTTGAGTTTTCCAATGAAATATACGGAGATACACCTACCCGTAAATCGCGCAAATATTGTTGTAGGGGATAGTCTTTCAGATACCCGTATCCGCCAAACATTTGCAAAGCTTGATTCACAATCTGTAAGAGCGGAATTTCCTAACGTATAACTGCGATTTCAAACCAACAATACCTGTGAGCAATTTTCCGTAGCATGAAGTTTTGCCATGGCACACAAAGCAGCTTTATGGATGCTATCTGCATCAAGGTGCCGAGCGGCATCTCGAATCATCAACCTATAAACAAAAATGTGTTGATTATTGGATTATTAAAAAATAAAATCAATCATAGTGGTAAAAAACCGAAATTTTTTGCATAGTTCTCACACCAAATTGAAACAGGTCCCACCTACTACTTTGCAACTTAGTCGCAATTTCTGCCAATTTAAACTGATTCCATTGAAACTCGGAAAGTGGTTTGCCGAATTGTTTTCGCACCTATACCAAACATTTCAGCTGTTCAAGCACAATATAAATATTATATTCACCTTTAACTGATCGATGGCTAAATCTATACTCTGTTGTGCAGCTCCTAAAGAACAACTAGCAATATTTATTCGACCTCCATTCAGACCAGCCATGGCAATATTGAATCCGTGATTATCGGGACCAATTTGATTCGTCACTGGGACCTGAAAGGCACTTTAAATGCTAATTTTGCGTTACATTGTATTCATAGAGCTAGCATTTTCTTTTGTAAAAAGGAGCAAGCAATTACGTCCAAAAATAACGCTTGATTTTTGAATGCGACCTACATGACTTTTGAAATACGCAATGAACTTCGGTGATTTGAATTTTACACAATGGTATTCAATCTGCTTCATTTACAAAGAAATACTGCGGGGTGTGACTATGTAGTTCCATACCCTCATCTCAAAGAATTTTTATGGCTTTCCCCCTCGAAAAAACACCGGCCGTTACTGACTGCAAACAGGGATTTTGTAACATATAGAACTGCCCAGGTATCACTTACCTTGACGTCCTCAAAGGAAAGAATTCGAGTTGGTTGAGTATTCCATCCCAATTTCTGCTCTTTCTTCCCTTGTGTAAACCCTTCCATACCATCCTCTATCAACAAACAAAAGATCCCTTTTGCTCCTGATTGTCCCTCGTGTCGCACCATAACTACATAACTGAAAGATCGTTTCAAATGGTCCAGATGGGTAAACGGAAAGCCTTCTGTTTTTTTTGGCAGGGAAAGACAACTCTGCAGGAAAGCAGATCAAAGTTTCGATTTTTTGATCTACCACAAATTAGCGAGATTCTAGCAAAATTCAAAAAATCAGAAGCAATATTATTCAGAAAAATATCATAACACTTCTGAAGGTAAATGCGCAGCGATCGCAAGTTATCCGCGCATCTCTCAAAAACGACTTCTTTTTTCAGAATCAGGCGCATCGAGACCGCGCCGCATCAGAAGGCGCAACAAGTCCATTGTCTGCGATAGCGACTCGAACGTACATTTTAGACGATCCCGCTCCGCTGATAAATGCTTTTGAACCATTAACAACATAGTAGTCGCCTTCACGTCGGGCTATAGTACTCAAGCTAGCTGCATCGGACCCTAAAATGGCTCATATGAATTTCAAAGTCCATAATTTCCAGCTGTACGAAAATGTGGTAGACTGTGAGATGTTCACAATTAACAAGCTAACATTTCGAAAGCATTATAGAATTCATTTGCTGATGCTTCTACCACAAATTCCTGGTTGCAAATACTTTCCTGAATATCCTACCATGCCATTTCAGTTACATGTAATTCTTCAAGATTGCCATCTAAGCAGGTTCTATTTTCAGAAAATGGTAGAAAAGGAAGCGAATTTTTCAAACTGTTGGAAGCCAGAACGATTGGTAAATGACTAATTTGCATCTAGACTGCACATTTCCTCACATTTTTGCAGCAATTCTTACGCTTCATGCGGCACAAAAGTCTGGATCACAGGGATATGCAAGGCGAACACTTAATTCTGTTACCATTTCATATATCTCATAGATGAAACAGTAATGAATACAGACTTCTTTCATGGAAATGAGAAGTATTCAGAATTTCGACAAAAAATCTTCTTGCTATGCTTCAAAGGCGGAAAATTGCAACTGCGAGCTTTCCATCTCTCCTTGGCCTTCTATATGCGCTGAGCCCACGGCAAAGCTTGAAAAGTCAAGAAATTGCGTTTCATGGTCTTTCCCCGTCTGAGAAATTGCTGGAGGGAATGATCGAGGAATTGCCAACTGAGTCGCGATTGGCTGCCTGAGCCAATCAGCCAATTGCTGCCAGAATAGGTGGAGTACGTATCCTGCAGCCAGTAGCTGTTTTAGCGGATCCCTCGCCCAGCCCCCTCAACAATTTCCAAGGCCGAAAAACGCCAAAAACACTTTTGTGACTTTTCAAGCACAGTCTTGGGCTCAGTGCTTCCAGGCCATGTAGGTACAAAAAGCTCGCAATCTCAATTTTCCCGAGCCACTACCTGCAAGAAAGCGACAAATTTGAATCTGTACATTTTTCTCATGAAGAAAACAATGGCGGAGAGAGGGAGAGGGGAGGGCAATAGGAGGAGAAAGTCGAAATGGAGAGTGGGGGGGGCATGCAGATAAAGGTTGCGAAATCATGTAAGTCTTTTGAAGTGAATTTTAAAATTATGCAAAAGACATGCCTTAGTTGCAAACAAAGTGATGATGATGTATTAGCTTCGGAAAAAAATTATAAGGACATGATTGCTTCCATTCCATTTCAAATCAAAGCTAAAAGCTTGCGAAAAATGAAACCGAAGTATAGAAAAAGTTTATAAAATGCATTAGAATTTCACAAAAAAGAATAATTTCAACAAAAAAATGTATTTTAACGATTTGCAAAACAAAGGAGCTTTTACTCGTGCTCCCCGACAGTGGATAGCAAACCTTACAACTATCCTCCACCTCGTTCTCACCGGAGTTTGGTTCCGTTAGGCAGTATGAGGAAAGGGTTTCGAACGCAGCCATGCTGGGGATGTATTTTTCTCGCATTTCCTTGGGTCCATAGGTGTCAATCATCCAAGCGCACCTGCAACAGCAAAGGCTTTCTTTTTTAATATTCTGCGGAAATATTTTACTAGATAAAGCATCGAGTCTTCGCAAAAATCACAACATAGCGAGCTCCAATAAAGAGCGAAAAAATAAAGAATAAATGTACTGGATTACTGATGAAACTTTTTGAGATACTTACATATTATGAATGCTCATATAAGCAGCGGTTGAGACACAGCCAGCTGCCAATTGCTCAAAAATTACAGAAGCATGTAGCCTGGTCATACCACATCCACCGTAATCTTCTTTGCAATAAATAGCACCAAATCCTAACTCTCCTGCATGTCTCATCATCTCTACGGGGAAGTATTCCTGAACACTAGCATCAGAAAAATAAAAGGATGTGTAAGCAAATTCCTGACCTCTTTGTCCCACTTCGCCATATTGGGATACATTTCCTTACGTGCAAAATCGCGAGCAACTTTCTGCACTTCAACAACATCAGCATCTAGACCGAGAGAAGCTAAAAAATCAAGATAGTCTTTGCAAAAAGTTGCAAAATTTACATGTAATGTAAACTGCCAAAGGTTATTATTTTTTCAAAAGAAAACACCTTGTGGCACAAACTCCACAGAAATTCTCCAGCTCCCACTATACCTTCATATTCAATTATGAGCAAAGCGCATCATTTTTTCAAATAGTAAACTGAAAAGCATGGTCTAACAATAATAATTCACAAATAGCAATAACTCTTGTCTGTTCGCATTCCCACCGACCATATAATTATTTTTTGCCAAAAGAATCACGCTATCTAAATTGCAATAGATCAAACATTTCAAACCTCTACAAAATGCCAGAATATTTCAACATGAGATCGAAAAAATGCAAATGGTTTTTGACTAATCTTATCAAGTGCGAAGCACATGTGTTTGCTCGTAGACATCATTTACCACTAGATAACTGAAAAAATCTGTAAAACGAGGCTTATGTTATGGAGTTTGTCCTATCCAACTGTAGCTTGGATGTCTTCGCAGAGCACGTATCAAAATTTTGCAAAATTGTTCTGACCATGGCAAATATCACGGGTTGCAGACTTTGGTGATATTCTAAGAGCCTGTTGAAACGCAATGGAAACGTAAGCACTTGTAAGAGTAAGAAAAGTTGCATCCATTGCTACCCACTTCCAAGGATCCTTCTTCTGCGAGATGTGGCCTTCCTTTAAAAAGCCTAAAATCAGCATTGCGGGTAAACGGAAGAACGAGTAAGTTTTTTTGCTCATCTATAAGGAATTTCTACCAACTTTATTGCAATCTGATTATACGCGAATGGATCTGCTATTGTGGGGAGCAACTTTCTTCTTATATGCACAATCACCTCATTACCATTGGTTGTGGTGATATAAAGATGTGCAAGTAACTTGTTTATTTTAAAACTTTCTAAAAACTTGATTTAGCCCTATAAAAAAATTCTAAATTTTCGGGCTTATGAGCCAGCGAAAATTTTTGAAAGCATACCAGAATTATTTTGGGTGCATCCCCCCCCCCAACCGAACGGAAACTTTGAGACCACTGTTGTGAGCGTATACCAAAAATCACTTGTTGAAATTTATGATATCGTTGCTTGATGAATGTGGGAAGGTGAAGGCCATCGCGGAAACGGGAAATATTTATTGAGATATTTTAGAAAATTTTTGAAAAGCATGGTAACTTATCACGGATGGAAAGATATACTTTTCAGAAGGATTTTTACTTCACTTCCAGTCAGGGAGGTACCTAAAGGCCCGATAAATTTTCAGCAACTTCTCTCTGAAAAAATTCCACAGTTTAGCATTCTTCACCCTACACAGACGTTCGGTTAGAAGGTAGAAAAAATGGATTTCAAATAATTAGAACTGCTCAGCCAATTTCGCGCACCACTGTAAAATGTCTATGATTGTGGATAAAAAAAACTTTTTCCGGTTTCTCTTCCTATTCCGCAAAAATCTCCAATTACAGTTGGTGTTCAAGCGAAACAGCAAGTTTTGCTTTGTCGTAATGCTTGACAGATAGATAAACTGACGATCTACGCAGTACATATGTCCGTTCCTTTTGGAGATCTTTGATGCATATTGAGGCAACCGTAGAAGATTTCGAATAAGCATCTGGAACAGTGTGATAATGATGTTGTTCAGATAACAGGTTGGTACAAAAGTTCTTTCTCACCACTTTTAAAGACTCATAACTTCTGGTTTTTCTCATCAAATTTGCTTCATTTTATTTTTGCTCAAAAGAGTGGAACACATTCTTCGTGGTAGTATTTTAGCGGCTTTCTATTAAGAATACATCGCATAGATAGAAGCGGTAGAAGAAAATTACTCATAATTTGAAAACTTGCGATAAAAATCGGAGGAGTCGGTGCTCAGGTTTCACCACCTAGCCTTTCTAAATAGACAAATTCTCTAATCCAAGGCTTCTATGAAAAGTCATGATTTTTGAGCAATCAACACAAACAGCGAATCTGATTTTTTAAACATTTTCGAGGTCCATAACATTTCATAGACTTTCAGGTTAGCACTAATGTTGCTTACTTAGAAAATGGAGGTAAAAAACCTATAATACCATTTTTTATGCAAGTTTCACATTCTGCGACCAAACTTAGGAAGATCAAAAATTGGGTAATTTCCTTCTACCGCATCTATCCATACAATATATGCTTGATACGAAGCCATCAGAAAATTTTTGTGAAGAGCATGGTTCACTCTTTCAAGCAAATCTAAAAGTAAGGTATTGATTGGAAAAATTTACAACTTTTTTGGTTCTGAGTGTTTGAAAAATGGTGCGACGAATTTTTATACCAACCTAATTACTCCTTGGGAAATTTCGGTAATCACAATGTGCAGAATGAAATGAAACAAAAACAAGCGATATTATGAAGTAGAGAAAAAGTCATACGCATGGATGAAAAAAATGACAGTAGTAGGCATAAGACTTCCATTGTCAAAAAATGTGATCAAAATAGTGTAGAGCAACATTGGTTCGTAAGAAATTCCACCTCTCAGGTCAAAGATAATGAGGTCATATAATAAGATCCAATGACCCAAAGCATCCAAATAGCTCAAGAGCGGATGACATCATCCATAGACAGAAAACAATACTGTGGCCATTTTACACCAGAAACAAAGATAAAGACTTTGAAAACAAAGGTGCAGTGTGACATGATAAAACGACATGAAAGGACAGTCTCAGTGCAGAAACAGTCTCCACGAAAGAAAAGTGAGGATAGCAGAGAACAGAGGTGACAGCAAAGAGCCGTCCAGCGTAAGTTCGCCGAAAGAACGCGCATTACCGAGAGTGTGAAAAGAAAAGCGAGAAAGAACGCGAGAGAGATAGCAGCAAAGCACACGAGGTCGTCGCTCGGAGTACGCTATGTGTTTGTTGAAACTGCAGCAAAGCACGAAGATCACTTTATTACCGGATAGATTCACAACCATTGTCTGCACTTCAGATACTTCCAAACATTTATCACCTATATTTGGAAATAAAATGATCAGCTGTAAGCACATCCTTCTAGGGATCCGTCATAGTGCTGGTGCATCATTGTACGCATACGGAAGCCATCTCCGCATCAGCTAATCGGAGGAGTAGAAGATGCTTCAACGAACGAACCTATGAAAAAAATTTCGTGAGGAACAAAACAACTATGGAACAAGACATCAAAAATTGAAATTCAAGCCCAGAAACTCCAATTTCTGAAAATGAAGACAAAAAATATCAATAAATGAAATCTAACAATATTTCAACAAAGCAAGGATAGGGCAAAATTCAGCTAGTATCATGGTTTACAAGCTATGAATTTTTTATTGAAGATTTTCTGCATGGTACTAGACTTCGATACTAACATAAAATATATGATTAAAAGCGTTCACTTACAGTGTCTTCCGAATCTTCCATGTCTTCACCGTTATCGATGGAATACTGACGGAAGAACGACACCAGCTCATGTAAATTTTCAGCAGGAATTTGAACCTCAAAAGTGGTATAAATAGCGATCCCAAAATCCCTCAAAGCGTATTACCTGCGGAGCATCCGCTAGAATGAGCTTCAAATAATAGAAGAGAATTTTGTGGAAAGACAGCGGAACGTTTGTCGAGGAGATTAGTGATACTAACACCTGCAATAAATGAAGAAATTTTTAGATTGCCTGCAAATTTGCTACTTACCGGTGCGGCAGAGCGGACGTCCCCAATGCTCAAAAATCGGTGGAAACGATAGTAGTTGAAAAGGAAAGCGAGAGATGGAGACTCCAGTTCAGCGACGTAGTCAGCCAAATGGTCCAGTAAACTCATGGAAGCCAGCTCATTCTTGTCTGCATGCCATACAATTCTGCAAGCATTGTTAGAAAAAGCAAAGTTGCTCATAAAGAACAAGGAAAATTATAAAAAAGCGATCGAGCGAGTAACCATAACAAAAAAGCTAGTCAGCGTATAATCTAAACATACCTGTTGACTGCAGTATCGAGGGCCGGTCCTCGACCACCTCGTAAAGCCCATGACAGTGCAGCACTCCACTCTCCTTCCCGCAAATAACTGTAATGATCGTACAGCAAAAGATACCAAAATTAGGACTTCAATTTTTGAACAAAAAACTTACCGGTAAGTCATAGTATTCACCACGCATGCTTTAGAATCATCCAGCTCCTGCTCCACACATATGCGCATGAGCTGCAAGCATTTCTATATAACAGTGCAAAAATCGACGCCGTGAATCCATCACCCAGCAATACGAATGATTGGAAGCAAGCGTGCTGTACATGCCAAGATTTCAAAAAATGTACTAAACTCTGTCTGGTAAAATTGTGCAAAAAAAATCAAGCCATAAGACTGGTCGGAAAGTACTTACATTCTCCGCCATTGCTTCATCTTCGATATGCATTGCCTCAATGTGATTTTCCAGCCTTAGCCGACCTTCAGATCCACAATGTAACAAGTAATCTGCACCTATTTCCCACAGGCTGAATAGTTCGGTCATAACTGTGGTCCACAAAATGCACAGCGACTGCCGCACAGTACATACCAACTATCCTGAATCAATCCCGATGCGTAGTCCATCAGCAAAAAGTCTCTGATCTCCGCCAATGTGGGGAGGGAAGCATACTCAGAATCAGTATGTAACAATGTGTCAATCAAGTGAGCAGAAAGCCACGGATTCGATATCAGATTCTAAACAAAAAGAAATAAAACTCCCTTATACAAGCCCCTCCACTAAAACTACGCTACCTGCAACACCGAAATGTCTTTCATGCACAGAATAGACAGAAAAGCATCAAAATCGCCATTATCCTTTTCGTTATCGAATAAACTACGACATTTCTAAATGATTTGATGAAGTTGAAGGAATGATCGAACAAAAGAGTAGACTTCAGCTAGCGGTCCCAGCTCGTTATAGGCAACTGTGGCATTTTTCACGAAGGTGTAGAAAGGCATCAGATGCCACCATTCCGCTACCACAGCAGAAGCAGCTCGTTCAAGATTCTACAATCGACTAAATGGCCTATCGTTATAGCATTCACAATTTGCAGGATCGACACCTGAGGAGAAAACTGAGCTTTCGATCAAAACTGAGTTTATAAAGAAAACAGCACTAACACGAATACTTCACGCTAAACAGACACACCTTCCTGTCACCATTCAACAACTGCGCCAAGAAGAGAATGTTTCGATTGCTGGCGAATACACCAGAAGAGAGAGCTGACGCCAGCTCATGCTTCCATCGATCCAGCTTCGGGATCTAAAGCGATAAAACGTTACAAGATCATATAACTATAAATCTTGAATGCGGTTCAATATCGAATCACACATCCCACCTTTCCTTCATCAGTCAGCCAATTCCAGTCCAAGCTGCTCAATATATTGATGAATCTTTCAGCTGCTTTATCACCTTTCAAAAGGCTTAAGAAATCGATGCAGGTGTCAAATCGACATCCTATCATTGTCATGCACACCTAAATTGATGGAAGCTAGAAAAGTCTCTATGGGAAAGGGATAAAATACCTACCGTTCTCCAATAACTTCCTCCACCAACATCCACACCTTCATCTAACTCTTTGAACGCTTTCTGTACAAGTTTGTCGATAAATGTGAATGACTCCAAACCCCATGAGATGAGATCAAGGCATATCGGAGTATCTGAAAGGATATACTTGACAAAATCTGTATATGTACCATTTGCAAGAAAGTTACCTCCTTGCTTGAAAAACATGGTTTCGAAGAGTGTCCAAATGGTGAAGTCACGCATATAAACATTTTCGTCGTCGCCTCCAATTTCGTCTGCACAGTGAAGTAATGCTGACCGATATTCACGAGATATTGATAATGTTCTGAATAAAAAAATATCCTAGACCTGCCTGCAGCTTCAGCATCACGGAAGATAGCTCCGCTCAGGTTATTGTTTACATTGAGTGGGCTTTCGCGGTGCCAACAACACTTGCGTGTAAAAAATGATAGTGTAGCAAAGACTTTTTTAAAGAGCGTTTTCGAACCGTTTTTTGCAGAAATTGTGTTCGCCGAAGTTTGAACAAGCCAACGGTAATCTTAAAAGCTAACTCGAGAGCTGTTATCCTTCCGAGCTGAGCAGATTGACGGCATTTCTCAAAAATTACGTGCATTTCGATCAACAATTGCCGTACGATCGGGTTTGCATAGGCCAGATGCAGGACTGGCAAGTGCTCGTGGAACATTCCGAACACTCCAGAAGTAGGAACTGGAATACCTTTCTGTAGAAAGAGTTATAAAATTAGAGAAGTCATTCAGCAAGATACTGTCTTTTCAAATCCCAATATACATAACTTACAGTTATAGGATACTGACATAAACTAAAGGATGTAGCAAAGACTCATAAACAAGCCAACCAACAGATGAACAAACCACCAAGGTAATTTGTGGAAAAAATCAAGTTCTAAACATCCAAACTAACTGATATTAACTGATACCCACCTTTCTGTTCATCCCTTGTGTTTACTTTGCTCAAGGCACATATGATCTTCGAATCCGAAACCGAGTACGCATAATGGCAAGCATCTGGAGCCATCACCATCTCCACCCTTGAAAGAACCGTACAAAATTTTGAAAAATGTCGTGAGGAGCGCAAGTCTGCAGTCACATGCACGCAAGAAAGACAGTAATTGGAAAAATTGAAATGAAGGTGGAAATGCGATATCGAGACCACGGGAAAAAACCGTGTAAAAATGTTATGAAGGCTTCTAGTGATCTAGCAGTGTCAACAAATTGTTTGTTTATATAAAGAATGCAAAGTATCAACTTAAGTCCTTGTTTTGGAAAACCGTTTATTTGACATTTATTTATCTAGAACGATTCACACGAGTTTTGTCCTCCCAACTTGGAGTTCCTCTTAGGTTCATATAAGCGGTTCACTATTACATGGGATCAATAGTCGAAAAACTGAGCAAACAATCGAACACCTTTTTCCAAAAGTACCATTCTTTACTGTTTCATTTGGAGAGCTACAAAGGCAGTTAAAATGCTAAGGTGTGCATTCTAGAAGTTTTCGCTGATTGCTTCCTTGCCTAGCGTTGCTTCTGCCTGTCGCGGTCTTCGTACCCAAGCTGACCTCGGGCCTCATTTTGGCGTGGCTTGGGCATTTGCTAGGAATAAGTCGCGCCGTCTATCAAGATCACTAGAGAAATTCTATTCACTATCTCTAGTTATTCATTCACTATTTGCTATTTTGTTCTAATATTCTTTTACTACTTGCATTTTATTCCTTGTCTGTCAAATTCTAGTGCCAACTATAGCAATACAGGCAACCGCCTTCCCTTATTACGCGGTTACGCAGCCCGAGCGTTTTCTTTCATTGGGCTTGCGCAAACCACCCTAACATAATGTTTCTCGTAAGTGAATGGCCCCCTTTTTGGTGTGAAAGCCGGGGTTCTCTGAGCGAGCGGGGTTCTTTCACTCCTTTTCTGATATCAAATTGTTGCTGATAAACTTTTTGCATGAACCATCATTGTAAAACAAGACTAGAAAAAAGATATCTCGAAAAATTTTTTGAAAGAAAACTGTCAGGAACAAGGGGTGATCGGCCCTTGCCTGAGGGTGTGTAGCAGTATACGGTAGTACAATGTCTGTTAATAATATTTATTGTATAAGATGTTTACATAGTACAAAAGGGGGGGGGGCTGGAGAGACGGAGCTGGTGGCAGCCAGCTAATTCCACGCTGGAGTGCTTTGCCGTGCTCCATGATCCTCCTTCGAGCGATGTCTCACATAAACCACATGCTGACAGGATGAGTGAGTGGCGTGAGCGATTGATGAAGAGGGACCCTACATCTCCATTCCTTCAGTAAGCTCGTCCTCGAGCTTGTTACGAACATTAAGAGTTGATGGTGCATACAGTTGATTGAATTAATGATGGAGGGTAGGTAGGTGAACTGGGTAAACAGTCACGACGCTTCCCATACCTCAAACAATTTGGAGTATGCTCGTCCTCGAGCGGAGAGAAAATGTAAGGTTATCATCGCTGAAGGATGGGAGGAAGTGGTAAGCATGGTGCTGATGAGGCAGAGGGGTATACTGAATAAAGTATGAGTGTGGTTAATATATATATAAACTTATATTTGTATTCAGGCCAAATGCATGCGGGTAGTGGATACCCCATTTCTAACTTACCAGGGTCTCGTTGGAAAGGCGACCGTAACTGTGTGCGACTCCATTTCGGGGACCTGGTGGTTGAAAAGTTTGGGGACCCCACTGTTTTGCACGCGCCTTTCCGCGAGGCTCTCCTTCGTAAAAGCACTACGTCGGTGTACTTCGTTAACCTGATAGGTGATGAAGAACTGCGTATCAATATAGACCGCAACTCCGGAAGAATGTAGACTCCGCTTTATTAGTGTGTGATCTTGCCCAAGTTAAATCTATAATCAATATGTCGGGAGACAAGCCATCGCTCCAGCCCCCTCGCAAGTTAAGCCTGCGTGAGGCAGGTGTTACGTGGGCTGGAGCCAGGATAAAAGGAGAGCCCTCCGGCTCTCGAGGACGACGACGACCTCGGGGCTGACTGCTGTCGTCGCAGCTCAGCTCCCCTCCCCTCCCCCTTTCTTATCTATCGTATATAGTATCTTATGTAATAAACTATTTATAAAATATCTCTCCTCACTCATATACTACCGCTACACAGCTCAGATAAGGGCCCGTACACCCCTTATCCTGACATGGAGGTCCCGGTGAGGTGAGCGAAGATGTTCACATGTCAAAGTTCCTGTTTTCTGCCATCAGCGGAACTCGTCGTCCCACACACCTGGAAGAGCCCTGGCTTGCCGAAGAACACATCCTATCAATGCTGTTACGCGGAGAGGTGCGGAAGACGATCGTTTCTATCCAGAAAAACCGCTCCGTGATAATAGAAGTCAAGAGTTTAACGGCACCAGCAGGGACGATCACCGCCACGTGTAAGTTTAAAAAAAAATTATTTTTTTTATTCAGCATTATCTTACTCTCATTAGAAAAGGAAAAAGAAAAAAAAATTAATTTAGGTAGCCTACACGATTGTGTGGGTTTCTTATACAAGGTCGATGGCGAAGATGGGGAGCGCTGGAGAGGAGATCGGAAGCGCTTAAGACTACACTTTGGGGATCTCTATGTCGTTAACTATGGCCACAAAGTGGTACTAGGAAAAAGTCTGGAGGACGCGCTGCTCAATGGCACTACTAATTCCGCAACCATCCACAATATTTGCGGCGGGAAAAGGCTGCGCCGCCGTCTGGAAAATCTGGCCGGGAGGAACGGGGAGTAACAAGAAACCACTATTGCATTTAAACCGCACTGTTACCTCACTGTTAATTTGTTGTTTGTTAATAAAATTATTTAACTATGTTGAGTGTGAAAATGAAAAGAAAATGAGAGAGAAAAAAAACAGTTGGGAAAAAAATTACTATTACATCTTACTTGTTCTATGTTCTTCCGAAAAGATAGTGAGAAATTCATGGAAAATTCTAAAAAAAAATTAGAAGTAACTTAATTTAGTTAGTCTCCTAGTTCGCACTGCTTATGATTTCACCATCTAGAAATCTAGGTTACTGTAGTGCTCCTTCACCATTGGGCTGCGCAATTAGTAGTGGTGAAATGCGCCGGCGCTACGGTCATTAATATTTGTGTAAGGATTCGCGCTCCTTCCTCACCTTGCGGCCAACTGCTGGCTCTACGAAATATGCATTTCGGCTGGCGGCTAGCTTCGCGCACTTGGACATATGCTGATGGTGTTCGCGATTGAGATTAATTGCTACCTGGGGTGCGGCGTATGTGCGCGAGGTTACGTAATCTGCGCTTGAAATAGCACCAGTGTAACAGCAAAAGCGATTCTGAGTGATCAAGTCAGCGCCTCACTGTTTGATATACGTATATTTATCGTTTTAGGCCTTTGACCGGTATTCGCGAACGAGTCCTTTCAAAAGAGAAAAAAAACTATCAAAATAAATAAATTTTACGTTGCAAAAAGAAAAATAATCGCGCGCTGAAAAAATTCACGGATCACGGAAATTCGAAACATTTTCGTGCCACAAAACGCGGTTTCGCGGATTCACGGATTCGCAAATTCACGGTTCACGGGAATTCACGGATCACGGAATTACGAAACACGGTCACGGATCACGGACACAGGACACTAAGGCCGTCAAGTCGTTCCTTGGCGCTGCCTCATATTTTCGCAGATTCATCCCACGATTCTCTTTTATTGCTACCCCTCTTACCAACCTTTTGCTCAAAGACGCCCCATTTACATGGACTGAGAGCACGAGCGAGCGTTTTCAACACTCAAGCGCGCCTTAGTCGCAGCGCCAGTTCTTGTCCCTCCGACCTTGGGACAACCCTACATCATACACACCGATGCTTCTACAATTGGAGTAGGGGCATGTCTGCTACAATTAGATCCAGAAACTTCTCAAGAGCACCCCATCGCTTACTGTAGCCGCCCTCTCACTAAACACGAGAAAAACTACGCAGTTATAGAATTAGAAGCGTTAGCCATCGTATTCGCTTTGCGACATTTTTACCCGTACGTTGCTAATGCCTCGATCACATTGGTGACCGATCATGCGCCGCTTAAATCGCTGATGCATAGATCTGATTTGGTTGGACGGCTTGCTAAATATCAAATTAGTATCCAAGCCTACGACCTAAAAATAGATTATCGCGCAGGAAAGCATAATACACTTTGTGACTTTCTTAGCCGATACCCAGTAGTAAGCACAAATGCCATACAAGTGTCTTCTCTGCCAACTTTAGACGAAATCCGCCAATCTCAAATGCAGTCAGGGTACAGCGTCGTTTTAAAGTTTTTGCGAGGAGAACAGGACACTCTCCCGGACGAATTTTCTGAAATTCTAGACAAATACGTGATTTTCAATGACTGTCTTTATACAAAATCGAAGAAAGCACCGCAATTGTTCGTCCCTGACAGCGAGATGCAAACTAAAATTATCCAAATTTTTCATAATACTCCACTTTTGGGTTCCCATCTCGGTGCCAGGAAAACGTTCCGAGCAATTGAGGCAAAATATTTTTGGCCTAAAATGTTCGACCACGTAATGAAATACGTAACTACATGTGCTGTTTGCCAGAAAATTAAAACTCCATCCGGACATATAATACGCGAAGAGCTAGGATCTTTTCCAATTCCTCAACGCCCTTTTGAACGCATACATACTGACGTTGTAGGACCTCTTCCGCAGTGCATTTATGGAAATAAATTTATTTCCATGACAGTTTGTGCATTTAGCAAATTGGTAATCTGCACTCCTATTCCAAATCAACTCACAGAAACTGTTGTAAAAGCTTTAATCAACGATGTCATTTCAAAACATGGCATTCCCAACGAAATCGTTTCCAATCAAGGATCTTACACCAGCGATATTTTTGCATAAATCATGTCTTCATCTCACACTCGTTCACCATTAGTTATAACCATAAGGCGAACGGACAAGTTGAACGGTTGGTAAGAGTAATCATCCACTCCCTTACAGCTTACTGTTCCGAAGCGCGAGACCTATGGTCCGATTTCCTGCAACCTATTGTTTTTGCATATAATACCAGCATTAATGATACTACAAGATACAGCCCATACATCATCGCATACGGACGCCATCCTATCACTTGGAGTGACATCATCCACCAACTGCCGTCGAGAATCACATATGCTTCGGACAGTTTCGCGGACCAATTTACGACGGCTCTGCAAACAACGATTACAGAAGTAGGAAATCAGATTGCTACGAAAACTGCTGGATACAAATCAGGTTACGACTACTCACATAGAGTTCTCACGAAGGAACTTTCCGCTGGAGATCTTGTGCTACTGCATGACGACACAGTACGTCCTAAATTCTCGATTCAGTGGAAAGGCCCTTATCTCGTAGAAAGTGTGAATCGTCCTAACATTACCATCCGCAACTTGGTTGGCCACCAAACCTCTCAAGTTGTGCACATCAATAGACTCAAAATCTATTGTCCTCGCTCCACATTGGCTAATGTTTCCACCCCAACCACACTCCCAAACTCACTGGTTCAATCGGAAACATCAGCAAATGAAGAGCAAAACCCTCGTCGTTCTGAACGTATTCGTAGACAAAGTTCTACGAGGGTCCCAAGAACAGGTAATTACTAGCTGAACAGTAGCCCAGGCTGCCCTGTTTAACTGGTTACGTCTACATTTCTCTTTCCTCGTCTCCTAAATTTGGTAAGTTTGTTTCATTTTTTTGCCGCACTGTCGCTTTCACCACAACTGAACCACATTTCCTTGAAGCGGCGATTTCAACGAAATGAATAAAACATTTTTTTTCTCTAAAAGCAGCTCTAGTCAAATAAATTCTCTTTTCGATAACCTTACTGACAAAATTGCATCGCCCAAGTGTTGGACTAGTTGCTATTGTTCTAGATGAATTACTTGTCATTGTGCTAGAACCACACTTGCCCCTCTAAATCATAACGTAGTAGTAACGTAGACAACATCGCATGTAGTTTTTTTTAAACAATATTTTTTCGTTCTCTCTAGTGTTGCAGAATTTTCTTACCCATTTCATTGTCAAAACTAGATTTCACCCCCTTTAGGATATCTTTTATTTTTCGTTGTACTATCATTTTTGCTCTTTTTATACTGTTGATACGTATACTTGCTCAAAAAAAAATATATACACATATATTTGCACGGTCGTAATTTCACCACCACTAATGTCGATGTTGACTCGTATATTTGCTCAATATTGATGTTTGTTACCCTACATATACTCATCATCATCCACTCATTCGACACCACATCATCATCGACTCCTCCCTCCTCTCTCCACCACAACCTCCTCCAATTCCGCAATTTGTCACCGTCGCTTATTCGAGGACGCTCGAGGACGAGCTCACTTCGATGCCATGGTATGGAAAGGACGTGGCTACAGACTTCCCTCGGATGGCCCTCTAAAGACCCCTTGGACGACTAAGAAGCCCCTTTGACCTACCACGCTGTGCTGTATGAAGACTCGTTCAAAAATAATCGATGTGACCACTATGTACGGAATTTCGACGTAAGCTCGAGGTCGAGCTTTCTGTAGGAATGGAGATGTCGGGAGACAAGCCATCGCTCCAGCCCCCTCGCAAGTTAAGCCTGCGTGAGGCAGGTGTTACGTGGGCTGGAGCCAGGATAAAAGGAGAGCCCTCCGGCTCTCGAGGACGACGACGACCTCGGGGCTGACTGCTGTCGTCGCAGCTCAGCTCCCCTCCCCTCCCCCTTTCTTATCTATCGTATATAGTATCTTATGTAATAAACTATTTATAAAATATCTCTCCTCACTCATATACTACCGCTACACAGCTCAGATAAGGGCCCGTACACCCCTTATCCTGACAAATAGTCATCGACAAGGCGAATCCTATTCCATCCTGTAGCGGAGGCTAATGTTACACTAAGATTTCTTGGGGCTAAATATAGTCGAGAGATAGATGAAAATCCGTAATCATTAGGCTTCAACGAGGTGGATCCTATCCCATCTAGCGTAGGCTAATGTTACACTAGGATTACTATCCGAGCTAAATATAAATGGGAGATATTCGGTAGAATGTGTAATCGTTAGTCATTCAACAAGGTGGATCCTTACCTATCCTCAAACGGAGGCTAATGTTACACTAGAAGCACTGGCGGCTGGATTATGCATGGGGTGCTATATATATTTTTTGAGGCGTCAAACGTCAAACCAAACTTTCGTCACGCGCGAGGATTAATTGCCACACTTGTCCGGTGTATCTTTTGCGCGATACCTGAGCCCGATGGATAAAATTAGTGTAAGAGCGAGCGGCGAAAAATTTTGCTGATGAATGAGTCAGCACGCCTACGCATGCTAACACTTTTTGTTCTTCTTTTCTTAAGAATTTATAGGTACCAAATAAACGCCGGCACCGCGAGCGAGTCCTTGTAAAATATCAAAATTATAGAGCGAGCAAAGAAAGAATACTAATAATCATTTTCCGGAAAATGTAGCATAATAAATTTTAATATAAAACTTCAAACATTATCCTTATAAAGTGCGGTTCATAATTATACGAACACCCCAGATCTTGAAAGTTTTTGGACTTTTTGGAAGAAACTCGAAAAGCCGTTGGTACCACGCGATAGAACACTACCGAAAACGGTATATGATCCACAAGAATGGAAGTGGATGTCACTCTCAGGAGCGTTTTGCGCCTAATGCGAATTTTTAGCGGTTCATAATTATACGAACACCTCAAACAAAGGTCCATTTTTCATTCAAGATTACA